TTTGCTTCCTCAGCAGTGGGATGATGGACACATAGCTCTGTGCCTGTCACTGAAAAACTGTGGGTTCTGGAGACTGAACCTGGCTCTGCATGTTTATGCTATAAGTGCTTTATCAATTGCGCCATTCTCCAGCCCCAGAAAAATGGACTATAGGGATGAATGATTGCAGATGAGAGACCGGTGCATGGGGTGGGTACAGAGTAGCAATGGTCAGGGAGAAGTCTGGCTTGGGAGTCACATGGCTTGAGAATTGAGAAGACATTTCCATTGACTCTGAGTGGAAACTTCACCTTTGGTTTTCAGAACTTCCCTAAGGAATGAGTTTATGATCTTCCTTCCTATTTAATAAGAGTTGAATAATGAGTCCCACAGCCAGCTTGTTATTTTCTCTCTGAGGAGAAGTGTAATCTAGGCAGAGGCAGTAACTCATGGGACTAATGAAGGTCCCTGGAAGTGTGTGATTGAGGATGTAGTTTTCTACAGTGGGAAATAGAAGACTTTAAAGAACTTGGAAATGAAAAAAAAGAGAGGCCCAAATTGTGCTTCAGGCAAGCTGTCTTGCTCTTTATATAGAATGGAATCAATTTTCAAACTTGATGCCACATGCTAGCTACATCAGTCTACTTGGGAGAGTCCACTTCTCTCTACTTCATTGCACATGGACATATTTGCTCCCTTTAATACAAGGATGAGTCTGGCACAGTGGCAAAAGGCTTTGGGCCACTTGTTCAATATTGAACATCAGGCAACTTGGGTATTTTCTCTGGTTAGCATGAAACTTGTCAATCAGTTCCTTTGTTTCCTTCTCTGTAACTGAGGATGCTCTTCCTACTCTGTAGAGTTGTTTGTGTGGTACATAGCCTGTCTGAGGCTTCATAGTGCACATTGGCTCCTGTTATTACCCAAAGAGCCTGGGAGTTCATGGTCAGCACATTCCCACTTTACTCCTGTTGCTCTCTGGGTATCTGGGAGTTACGTAGCCAGTCTTACAGCTTCTCTAATGTTGGACCACACCTAAATCTGTGCACCTGTTTCCATCCCTAGGCTTCTAGTGCCAATTGTATGTTGTGTATGTATGTGTTCATGTGGGTACATGCACATGGGTTCTACTTTGCTTTCTGTTGCTGTGATAAAATATCACAACCAAAAGCAACTCAGTGAGGAAAACCTTTATTTCCTCTTACAGCATAGTCCAGCATGAGAGGGAGTCAGGGAAGTAGTTTGAGGAGGGAACCTGGAGGTGGGAACTGAAGCAGAGGTCATGGAGGAATGTTGTTTACTGTCTTGTTCTCCATGGCTCACTCAACTTGCTTTTCCTACAACACAGAGCCACCTGCCTAGGGGTGACACCATCCACAGTGGCCTGAGCCCTCTCATATTAATCATTAACTAAGAAATGCCCCCAGAGACTTGGCTAAAGCCCAGTCCGATGGAGGCATTTTCTCAATGAATGTTATCTCCTCCCAAATGACTCTAGTTTGTGTCAAGGTGACATAAAACTAACCACAAAATACGTAGATACATATTGTTGGCATCGGGTGATCTCTATTATCTCTCCACCTTATTTTTTGAGACAGGGTCTCTCCCTGAACCTTGAGCTCATTGACTTGGCTAGGTTGGCTGGCCAATGAGCTCCGGGGATCTGTTCATCTCCTACTTTCTAACTCCAGTGCTTGGGATGCAGTTGTATACTACAGTACCTGACTTTTTTGTGTGGATGTTAAAGATCCAAACTCAGATGGTTATGTTTTCTCAGCAAACAGTTTACTACTGAGATATCTCCCTAGCCCACTCTGGTTTTAGTTCTAATGATAATAATGATATTGATAATAATATAATTAAATGATGCAGCTTTACCCATAACATTTATCCTTCCATCAGGAGACAATGAGTCTTAGTTTTGTAAACAGATTTTTGCAAATAGATATTTCAGGGATATATTTCCACCAAGTAAAGCAACAGTGCTGACTGAGAAGGCCTCTCTGGGTAGTCATATCTTGGGGCTTTCCTGGGAGGTACATGGTGGACAGGGAGTAAACTCAGCTCAGCAGTCCTGGATTTAGGTCTTATCGCTCTCAGTTGCCTTTAAGTTCCCTGGTCCCATTTCCTCATCTGTCAGAGAGCAATTGTGAAAGCAAAAGAGGTTTTTTAAGGTGGTTACAGGGATTAAAGTAAAAAATTGCTATGAATGCGATTTGTGCCACCAAATCCATAAAATACGATATGCATTTGCTGCACGCTATTCTCTAAATTACATTCATTTGTCCTATGCTCTGATAGCTACACCCATTTATTTACTTCAAGACCAAGCGTGACAGGTTGTCCTCGCCTCTAGCAAGCTAGAACATCCTGACACAGAATGTTTTCATCCGAGGGAAGCGAGGGCTGGGGCAGGGCAGAGGCACTGTGTGGGCGAAGTCTGTCTCCTGGTGGCTTGTTCCTTCCCAGTAGGAACAGAACCTGCTAAACTTTATTTCCCTTTACTATGAGAAGTAAGGGCTAGCCACAAGTCTCCAGACATTTATGGCAGGGACCATACTAAGATTTAGAAAAGCCTATTAGGACCAGCTGCCCTCAGGATGGAAAAAGAGCCTGCAGCCTTCCACTATTGAAATATTGTCCGAGGAAATTAATTGGTTTTGTGGAGAATGAGCTAGACCTTCCAGAACTGTGCCAATTTAAAAATCAATGGCAATTAAAATATGTCTAGTGTTCAGGAGACAGAGTTAGGCTGGACTGGAACTCACTATGTAGACCAGGATGGCCTGGAAATAGCAACAATCCTCCTGCTTCTGCCTGGTGGGTGTCGCGATCACACAGGGCAGTAGGTGGTGTAGAAAGGGTTTCAGTGGGCCCCTTTTAAGCAGCATGTGCTCAGAAGAACACACAGTGGGTGTCACTGATGTATTTTAAATTTCAGAAGCGATGCCTACGCTAATCCATGCGAAGTTTTCTTATAGAAATCCTATTTGATTTTTAATTTTTTTTATTTCAGTTTAGTTCGTGCTGGGATTCTCTTCCATATCGCCTCCCTCCCCAGTTGAATTTAGTGCAGTGATGGCAGGCATCCACGGCGTGGCTGCATGTGGTGAGGAGGATCTCCATCTGAGAGTGGACCCTTGGGTGGGAAGGCTGGAACTTTCTCTTCCCCTCTCGGGAAACCACTGATGTGGCCTATGGCTGGTGTGGGAAGCCCGGTTCGCTCAGGATCCACTCAAGGTCTCTACAGGGCAGCTATGAGGGTGGGGAGGAAAAAAAGGGGACAGTCCACACTAATGCAACCATTACAAACACAGCAGAAACAACAGATAATAAGCAAAGAATATGCTCAACAAAATGGCAGCAAAGAATGCCTTGTCCTGCAGACTGTCTAGGATGGCCTCCCTGGCCTCCCTAGTAACTGACATCAGATGCTGAGGCTCAGGGGTGACTTTTCCCTCAGGGGAAGTTTGCAGGCCATTTTTGCTTGGCATTCAGGGCTAGAGACAAGCTCCAGCGTGTGGCTGGCTGAAAGACACTCTCCTTGCACAGCCTGCAGAGGGACTGCATCGGCTCCTGTCCAGGGAGTCCTCTGTAGGCTTGGCTGGCCAAAGCCAGATTTATTGTTATTATTGTTTGATGATTGCATAGTATTTGCTCATTGTAGGAACTTTAGAAAAGATGAAAAATTATTAAGAAAAATAAAAGTTGTCTATAAAATAAAAACAGTATTAGGGACTTTATGGGAGAAGTAAGGGGAAACATTCTAAATTTTTATATAGGCATTGGTTATATAGTTACATGGTTTATATAGACATCGGTTACTACATAGGCATACATATTTGCCAAAACCAGACAAGGTACTGTTAATGTTTGTGTCCTTCATTGTATGTAAAGTTTATAGAAAAATCAAAATCAAAATAACCATTGGACTTGCAAAAGTGATGTGCATTATAAATTACTTAGGGGTCAGTGCATGGATTCCTGCAAGTTACTTTAGAGTGTATAAAAAATCAGGTGGCTTGATTATGGATAGATATGTTATCAACCAAATATAGTAAACCATTAATGGTAAGATCCAGATGGTGGATACATGAGTGTTTGTGATAATATTACTTCAACTTTGCTGTAGCTCTGAAAATTTGCATGATAAGATATGGAGCTAAAGAGAGTACTGTTTCAGAGAGCAATCCATATTTAAAGCTCAAACTTAACTACTATTTACATTTGAGTACACATCATCTTCTTTCATTTTGGTTTTTAGGAATATGTGATTGCACATCATGAAGGTTTTACTTTATGCAGATTTCATTTCATATTTTTTACTCAGTAGTGTATCTTACTTTTATCATAAAAGTTTCGGATAATTTTTAAGTTAAAGCATCCTTTATATGCAGTAAAATTCACACTTTCAAGTGTATAATTCCATGCACTTGATGGATGTATTTTGCAAACACAACTACCAAGATACAGACTATTGATCTAGATTATTTCCCCATGCTCCCCACTACTGGTCTATATTTTAGAGTGGAAATAAAATAGAATCATATAGTACAATGTGTTGTCTTTTGGCTCTGCCTTCTTTATTCGCATTGCATATCCTAGCAGTTTGATCTTTTTCTAAACTGATAAAGTTGTATTATAAGAATGTACGCTTATGAAATTTTATGTTCAGGAAAGCTCGTTGTGTATTATAACTTGTTTTATTTATGTATTTCTTATTACTGTGATATTTACAATATTTCTTTGCTATTATGAATATCTTGTAGTGAAGATTGTTGTGTCTAATTTTCATTGGTTCTTTGAGGTAGATTCCTAGGAAAGGAATTGCTAAATCAAATGTAAGATTTTAAAGCCCTGAGACATTTTTAGTCATTAAAATGTTTTTCTTGTTTTTTTTTTTAATTTTTGTTTGTTTGTTTGTTTTTGTTTTTTTAATGGCGCAGAAAAGTCTGGACTCAGAACTCTCCCACTGTTTCTAACTGTCTCTCTTGCTTTCTCTTCTGCTGTCGTTACTATAGAACTGACTGATATTCCAGTGTAGTCAGTGAGCTTGCAAATTCTAAATCATGGAGACCAATCAGGAAGTGTCTCTCTTTTTGGTGAAGATCTTAGAAGAACTGGACAGTAAGCAAAATACTGTTTCCTATCAAGACCTGTGCAAGTCACTATGTGCTCAGTTTGATCTGTCGCAGCTTGCCAAACTGAGAAGCGTGCTTTTCTACACAGCGTGTCTCGACCCCAACTTTCCAGCCACCTTATTCAAAGACAAGATGAAATGCTCTGTAAACAATCAGCAGTCAAAGAAGATCATGGTGGCAGCAGATATCGTGACAATCTTCAACCTGATCCAAATGAATGGCGGCACCGCCAAGGAGAAGCTACCCACAAGTTGCCCCAAGGTACGCAAGAAGGAGGCATCCTTTGAATCTTGCAGGTCAGACACCGAGGTGTGCAATCCAACAGTCTGTGAGCCTATGAACTGTGAGCTAGGTGAGAGGCCCTTCAGCCGAGGCTACCCCACCAGGCAATCGTCCAAATGCCGGAAGAGGGACTGTAAGGAATGTCCACAGTTTGTCCCTGCCTCTGAGCCCAACTTCCTCTTGGGTGTCAGCAAAGAGGTGAAAAACCGGGCAGCATCTCTGGACAGGCTACAAGCCCTCTCCCCGTATTCTGTGGCCAGCCCCCAGCCCTGTGAGATGCAGAGGACCTATTTCCCCATGAATATCGAGAATGAATCCATTTCAGATCAGGACTCACTGTCCATCAGCCAAGGTATCAAGGAGACCTTCATCTCCAGTGAGGAACCATTTGTGGTTCAGTCTTGTGTTCAGAAAAGGAACATCTTCAAAGAAGAATTCCACAATCTCATGACTGTATCCCCCAGTTTTGTGGGTCCCACTAACAAAGCTGAGGGGGACCGTGGGGAGACCCAGAGTCAGAAGGAGCTCCACAAGCCACCGTTCTTTAACCACAGCTTTGAGATGCCTTACCACAACCAGTACCTGAATCCAGTGTACTCCCCAATTCCTGACAAAAGGCGGGCAAAGCACGAAAGCTTAGATGACCTTCAAGCCTCTACCTATTTTGGACCCACCCCAGTAATGGGAACACAAGATGCTAGGCGCTGTCCAGGAAGGTCCAGTAAACAGACTCCATGGCCCGCCAAAAGCTGGAGCCTAAACACGGAGGAAGTGCCTGACTTTGAACGGTCTTTTTTCAATAGAAATCCCTCTGAGGAGAAGCTACGCTATCCAAATTCTGGCAGCCAGACCCCCAACTTCTCAGGCCCAGATAGGCATCCAACTTACCTGGTGCCAAAGGATCAACAGAAAGTTCTCCCTGCTGGCTATGCAGTGAAACCGAATGGACTCAAATCTAAAGAGATCTCATCCCCTGTTGACCTGGAGAAGCACGAAGCAGCCAAAAAGTTTAAAGAAAAGAGCATCAGCTGCACCAGTGGGCAGCACAGCTCAGACACCAGCAGTGTGGGTACCCAGACAGAGCAGCATGTGCTGGAGGCCCCAAAATGTAAGGACTTGTGTACTCTGGGCCAGGCCAAATACAGTGACAGACATGCCATGAAGCACTCGGATGACGACTCGGAAATTGTCAGCGACGACATCAGTGACATTTTCCGGTTTCTTGATGACATGAGCATCAATGGCTCCACAGGAGTGATACAGTCATCCTGCTACAATAGCACCGGCTCCTTGTCTCAGCTTCACAAGTCAGACTGTGACAGCTCCCCAGAGCATAACCTCGCCAAAATCACCAATGGAGCCTCCAGCAGCAAGGGAGACAAGTGTAACCGGCCTGAAAATGTCCACCATTCTGAAGAAGAGTTGAAGACCAGCGTTTGCAAACTGGTTCTCAGGATCGGTGAGATCGAGCGGAAGCTGGAATCGCTGTCAGGGGTCCGTGAGGAAATCTCCCAGGTCCTTGGAAAGCTCAATAAACTGGATCAGAAAATACAGCAGCCGGAGAAAGTGAACGTGCAGATTGACTTGAATTCCTTGACCAGCGAGGCACCCTCTGATGACAGTGTCTCTCCGAGGGTCTTCCGTGCACACAGTGGCTCCCATGGGCCCAAACTGGAGAACAGCCCCGACTGGTGCTGCTCCGACGCCAGCGGAAGCAACAGTGAAAGCCTGCGAGTCAAGGCCTTAAAGAAAAGCCTCTTTACCAGGCCATCTTCCAGGTCCCTGACTGAGGAGAACAGTGCCACAGAGTCCAAAATTGCCAGCATCTCCAACTCTCCCAGAGACTGGCGAACCATCACTTATACCAACCGCATGAGCCTCAACGAAGAGGAGATCAAAGATGCGGGCCCGAGCGATAACAAAGACTGGCATCGGAAATCTAAGGAGGTAATGGAAATTTAAGTTCTCGTGATTGGTCTCAGCATTGCCACAGCCCCAGACATTCCATGCTGGTAGCTGTGCATTGCTGGTTCCCCTTCCAGCATTGGCAGGCTCTGCGCAGTAGAACAGAGAGGGCAACATGGGCAGGCTGTTTGTCCTGCCAAGGTGCCAGCCAGTTGGGTGGAGCTCACGCTGTGCTCCTGCCGACAGTAAACAGGGCGGTTGGGATCTTTGGACAGGTGGTGTGAGAAGGATTTCACGAAAGGGGGAGTGCGTCAAGGCAGGCAAACCTCACCAAGGTTATCTTCCCGTCCTTGCTGAAGTAGTGGGATCTGCACCAGGCAAGCAAGGGAAGATGCTTGCCAGTGTCCTTGTTGCTGGGTCTCTTGTATGAATTTGGTTTCATGCATGATGCTACTTTCGAAAACATGAGTCTTTTCACTGTAAGATAAATAGTTGGCTACTAAGAATAAGGAAACAACATCATTGTTCTACCATGGAAAAACAGCCAATCAGAAACAGTCTTTTTCTCCTCTTTAGTTGTCTCTTCTTCATATGTAATAGGTGTTCCACACTTCTCATGTGTTATTTTTGACCATTTGTCACAGTCCTCCCCCCACCAGCACTGGAATCCATGTAGGCATGTGTCCAAATGCTTCCCTTTGCTCTATGGCAGTGAAGGGACCTGTTCCAGGAGGCGTGCGTTTGATCCCTCACTCTCGATGGGTTCCAGTGTCTATGCCAGACTGAGGCACTCTCAATCTGCAGCTTGTCTTCATGACATTCTCTGCTTCTATGAGGCCATGACCTTCCCTCCCGGGGACTCTGAGGGCTGGACTGTCAGGGGAGGGAGTAGTAGGAAGGGCTTCGAGGGTGCTGAGCCAAAGAAGAGGTGAGGTATAGTTTTCCCAAGTGATGTCAAGAAAAACAAATTTGCAAACAATGGCTTTGAATTCAAGATCCAGAATGAGAGGAAAGAAAATTGAAGAGACTTTTTTTTTCTAATCCCAAAAGAGCCCCTTGTGTCCCATGGTGCTCTTTTCCCTAAACTGCTTGCTATGGACACAAGGTTAAGGCTAGATTTCTGGAGCTCAGGGTCCTATATAACATTAAAAAAAATGATGACCATTAGAGGACTCACATGGTTAGGTCTTTTGTAGTATTACCAAACCAAAGTGAACCAGCCTGACCACCAATCTGTGAAGTGCCAATACTTTACCAAACCACTAGAACTAGCTGCAACCTTAGATACAATCTACTTGGAAAGCTCCACATTAAACTGTTACTGTTTGAAGTAAGCCCTCTGAACTGTGTGGCTATTTTCACTGTGACTTTTCTTCTTGGCTTTTGTCACTTCTTGCTAATGATCCTTGTTGGGCTAACCAGCTTTGGTCACTGTTGCAGCTTTGGTCAGTGTCAGAAATTGCTGAAAGCCAGATCCTCCAAATGTCTTGTCACCATGCCTAGGTCAAAATCCTCTTGTCTCAGATTAGATGTTCTATTCTTTTGTAGCTAGTGTTTCTTCTTTGTTACTGCTATGGGGAATAGCCACCACCCCAGCAGTTTTCCCAGCTGAGGAGCTCCCCAGGAGCTATGGCTCGCACATGCCCAGTTTAGCTTCAGCTTCCACATATTTACTTTCTGTGATGTCTCTTTCATCTTTGCCTTGTTTGCCCTTTGGTATCCTTTATTCCAGGTTTCACATCCTACCTGGGGCCTGGGGACCCACCCCTCCACTTCCTACCTTATCTCATGGGCTACTTCTGTGTTTGTTGCCCTAAAATTGCCATCTACAGGTGTGCAGTGTCTCTTGTTTCAAAATCCCCTGCAGATCTTCTTCGCTTCAGCAAAAAGTCTCCAAGTTCTTACCCAGGCTTTTGTATTTTTTGCTCAGGTGTGTGTGTGTGTGTGTGTGTGTGTGTGTGTGTGTGTGTGTGTTCATGCACATGTGGAGGTCACAGGACAACATGTAAGAATTGATTCTTTTTGTCTACCATGTTAGGTCCTAGGGATCGAACTTCAGACACCAGGCTTGGTTGGCAAATGCCTTTACCCACTGAGCCTGAATTTCACATACTTCTTTCTAATCAAACTCCTGTATTTTATCACAAAGCCTCTTCTGCCTTGATGAGTAACTTGTATTTCCTCAAGAATGCTATGGTTATCCACTCAGTCACCTAATTAGCAAATACTTTAGTAATTCTTTCTTTATTTTTGATTTTTTTGAGCTCTACATTTTTCTCTGCTACCTTCCCTGCTTCTCACCTTCCCTTCAACCCTTTCCCAAGGTCCCCATGCTCCCATGCTCAGGAGATCATGTCTTTTTCTACTTCCCATGTAGATTAGATCTATGCCAGACCTTGTTATATGATCAAACATAATTCATACATCAAGATTGTCCGACATGCTTTCTCTGTGCTTAGAATAAGGTGAGAATGACTGATGCTGGTCTGTGCAACCTCAGGCCTCTGGGTTCTGCGCACCCCTCAAGGCCTCCTTGCTCACACCTCTCTTGACATGTCTACAGGGATTGTTGCCCATTTCTTACCTCTAGCTTTCAGTTCTTTTCGTTCAGATGTACTGGGCAAAAACATTTACTGAAATATAGATTATGTATATACATACTGACTACTGTTATCCGGGTTTCTGTCCTGCCCCGTTCTCGCAATCATTATGTCCCAAAGAAATCACCCAGAGGTATATATTAGTTATAAACCGATTGGTCCATTAGCTCAGGCTTCTTATTAACTCTTATAATTTATATTAGCCCATCATTCTTGTCTGTGTTAGCCACGTGGCTCGATACCTTATCTGGCAGGGCAGTCACATCTTGCTTCTTCTGTGGATGGGTCACAATGACTGTGGACCAAGCTTTCTTCTTCCCAGAATTCTCTGTTCTCATTGGTCCGCCTCTACTTCCTGTCTGGTTGTCCTGCCTATACTTCCTGCCTGGCTACTGGCCAATCAGCATTTATTTAAAATATAATTGACAGAATATAGATCATTGTCCTACACCAGACTACCATCTTAGAGTATAAACTCATCTGTAGTAAGAACAAGCCTGAGCCTCAATGAGATGTTCTTAGAAGTGTGAAATGGTTCAAACCCTGGGTCTGTGCAGCATATAGTCTCCCTCTTAGCCTCTCTCACCTGATCTTGTGCATCCACAGTGGGGAGAATTGTAGTTGTGATGCTGAAATGTTAATGAGAAGATGCTATGAAGTGCTGCAGCCTAGCACCAGGCAGAGAGGTGGGTAGACAATCAGCCCAATGGCTACCACAAGGTTATTGTCATGGGGATTTCTGTCATCCCCAGTTTTGTGCAAAATCTGCTTACATTAGGACTGGGGAATGAGACATGGGCAGAATAGATAAAGCCAATGGAGCCTGTTAGAAAATCCGTGGCTTTGAAGAGTTAGAAAATAAGAAGGAAGCCCATGTTGCCTGATTTACTGTTCCTTTGTCGGTAGCTTCCATGGTTTTGAATAGTTGAGCTACATCACTTCTGGGCATGAGCCAGTGGATCAGGTGTGCTGGTATGTGTTTTTAGCCTACATTCAGGTGTATGATATGTACACTCACAGCCACACACATGTGCTCATCATGTGTTCACTTGTCACACGACCTCCCCTCATGCTCTTCTTTTCCTTTTTCTGTTATTTCGTATTGAATGCTTTGCTTTTTTTCTCATACCTTAGGGCCATATCATTGGTTTCTATCCTTTAGACAAATCCTGATGGAGTATCCTATTTATTAGTACCATTTTTGCTGGGGCCACAATTAAAGGACAAACAAACTATTCCCTGCCTTGGAGAAACTCAGTTCAGTGGAGAAAGCAGGCTGGCAGATAAGCAGTTACAGTTTAGTGTGGCGAGCTCTAGCCAAAGGGTCTGGACGCAACCCTCCGAGATCACAGAGATCCACCCCATCCCATCTGTGACGGAGTACTAGCTGGAGGGTCATCCTTGTGAAAAACCGGTGGCCTCCAGGTAGATGTTAAAAAGATCAGAGGCCCTGCTCTTACAGGCTCACTGGGAATAGAATAGCCTGTGATATGTCTCATGGCCTGTGGACATAATTGACATCAGGCCCTTTCAGACACTCCCACTTCCATGCTGCTGCCCAAGCTGCTCCTTTATCTTTAGTGCTGTACTGATTCCTTTGAAAGGGCCGCGTGCCACCACGGACAGTCACTAGAGACTCTCTGTGTGGAATTTCCAGCTTGGCTTCTGTCTGTCAAGGCAGGCTCTCAGCAGAACTTTCAAGCAATTTCCTGCGGAATGGCCTGTGTCTTTCACTCATTGAGTCTCAGTATGAAGAGGGACAGAAAAGAAGGGTCAGTAACATACAAGAGCCAATCAAAGACTCGAAAACTAGTTGATTAGGTTTAAATCCGTGCTTTGCTGTGTGTTCTCATACAAATAATTGAGTCTTTCTGAGCTCCATTATCTGACTGTACAAGAGGAGCCAATTGTGGTGAGGATGATGTAAGGACCAGGTCATAGGAACTTCTCTAGATGTGGGAACATCTGCTCTTCCTAGCACTGTCAGGATCAGAAGCTCTCTTTAGAGAATCTCTCCCCAAACAGGCAGACTTTGTATGGGTTCACAAGTAAACTCGTGTTCCTGTCTGGGTGTCTACTAGGATCTCATTGATAAAAAGTTGACTGGCTGCTCAAAGGTACTGTGAGACCCCACGGCATCTCTGTGGCTTTTCTGGATGTTTCTGTGCTTCCCTACAGGCAGACCGGCAGTATGACATTCCCCCACAGCACCGACTGCCCAAGCAACCCAAAGATGGCTTCCTGGTAGAGCAAGTATTCAGTCCACATCCTTATCCCACCTCCCTCAAGGCCCACATGAAGAGCAACCCCCTGTACACAGACATGCGGCTGACTGAGCTGGCTGAGGTTAAGCGGGGCCAGCCTTCTTGGACCATAGAGGAGTATTCTCGGAACTCTGGTGACAAGGGCAAGTTGACAGCCCTGGACCTGCAGGTGAGACTCATTGTTTCTGGGTGGGAGGAGCCCTGTCGTGGGCTGTGTGGATGACTTAAATCTGGCCGCTCCCTCAACCTTCAAACACTCCTTGGGTCCTTGCTGTAGCATTCTGAAAGTTAATAAACCAGAGAGGAGAGTGGTCTTTTTCGTTGTTGTTTTAAACAAGGGGGTTTACACCTTGAGGATTTGTTTCTAAGTATTTAACAATGAGGGTGCTTGCTTTATAGATATGTTGGCCATCTGATTTGCTAATGATGCATTTAAAATCAAGTGCAAATTCTAATCTTTGCTCACAAGACCTGAGCCAAACTGTTTAATGATACACAAGCTGATTTCTCCTTCCATATGTAGCACGTGGGATAAGCATGTTTGTGGGAGCCAAGCTATGGATTATGTTTCCATATGGAGCCACCCCAGGTAAGAGCCATTCCTGGAAGGTCTATGAATGCCATTATGGCTAGAGGGCATGCTTTTTTGTTCACCCACCACAGGGCTGGGTTTTGGTTGCACTTTATTTTGGTGGGCAGCTCAATTCCATTCACAGCACGTCTGTCTATGTTTCCACACCCTTGCAAAGGAATCCTTGTTGCCACCCATGGGCTAAACTGTGTGGAGAGAGAGGCCATAGCACCAAAAGAATGCGCTGTCTCCAGACAGCCTGTGCACTTTAAGCATGGATGGTGAGAGCTGTCTGGAGGCCCATGATGGCAAAGCTCTTATGCCATGGCCTTTCTCTAAACAAGGGTGGTGTGGGAGGTACAGCATGCGACAGAGAAAAGGCAACGGGTTTGAACAGCACCAGGACTTAATCCAAAGCTTCTTAACAACACATTGTGATGTGGAGCACTTATTTCACCTGCTTTAGCTGCGATCCTCTCACCTGTGAAACGGGCATAAAAATATCCACCTTAATATGGCATTGTTGTGAGAACTGAAAATAATATACATAAAGAACCTGGCACTGATTGGCGTTGAGAGGGTGGCACTCAGGAGCTGGTGGAGGATGCTGCAGTCAGGCAGTGTACATGGTACCTTTCACATCCATCTCTTAGTTCCAGGCACAGTTGCCTGTGAGGCAGGCATTGCTCTGATCATCTCCAGTTTATAAACCAGGAAACAATGGAAGCAGGAAGCCCAGTGAGTTGGCCCAGGTCAGACAGGTCTGGATCTATACTGGACCATTGGACAATAAGTCTCCTCCTGTTCTTCCTCTTCTCTTTTCTATGTAGCATTTCCCTTTGCTGTTGCTGGGAGTTTAACAGAACTTAATCTCAGACAAAAGGAATATAATCACACTTGTATATCTGGGAACTTAAATGGTAGCAATTCAAGCAAGTTCAGGAACACTCTAAACTCTCCCCAGCCCCTCCTACACTTGTAATAATATCCCCATGCATACCACACGCCACTTATCACTTTGGGCTTCTCTCTTCCCTGTCATCTTCCTGATGATAAGTAGGCTGGATCATAACTCGAGTCTCCCACAAGCAGACCTCTGTGCAACTTTGCTAAACGTGCCCCCCCCCCCCGATCAGCGTTATCCTACCAGCCAGAAAATGCTCAGAATTAGAAACAGCTCAATAGATTGTAATAACCAATATTTCACCATGCCCTGGAAGCGACCTTGAAAACAGATTTTGCAAGTTTAGGGAGAGACAGCATGCAGTTTGAATGTGCCAGGGTTTTAAAGAATAACCATAAGATTAGCATAAAATAGCAACAGACATTTGGGTTACAGAGTTTTGGGTAACTCTGCTTAACAACGGAAGGTCAGAGTATCCAACAGCACATACTGAAGGGATAGAGCTCACTGCCCGCTGATGCGTTGGCAGAACAGCAGGGCAGACACCGGGGCAGGTGGAGCAGAGTCGCCAGCTTATCTGTTTGCATTGCTTTGCAGAGATTGAAGTGCTGTTCCAGGTTAGCTTTGGAACAGGTTTCTTGGGGCCCGTTTTTGTTCATATATAAATGCATTAATGATACCCACCAAGGGGGTAGGCACTGGTGTAGGCCTGGCTTTATTTTCATCATTTGGCAGGCCTAATTACAAGTGAGTCTGTGTGCGGTGTCCCTGGGAATCTGGGTATTACCTCTTTGTGCTGTGGTGCCATTAGAGCTTGACGTTATTGAAAACAAAACTAATTAAAATAGTTTATTTCCGAGGCAGACTCTTAGCCCATAACCAAGTGTAGATAGCTGTGAGAGGAGGCTGATTGCCTTGTTCTGAGATGGAGGGACCAAAGCCCCCAATCTCTGCTCCCTGTGTGTGTTGCTTCTCTCCTGCACCAGCCCTGGGAAATCGGGGGAAAGAGCAGCTTATTTTGGACATAATGACCAGAGTTTGTCTTCAAGGCTATAGGGCATGGAAGGCTGTTAGTTTAGCCTTCCACCCAAACCTAATCTACGTGGGCACATCATTCACGTGACAGGTCAGTATTCCAGCAATACAGGCCCATCTTTGGATCCCTCTCTTCCTTATTGAATGCGCATTCATCTGCAGAAGGATTTTCATGTCAGGGAGAGCAAGTGGGGCCCAACTGTGTCTATGGAGAGCAGAGCTCTGTGTGTGTGTGTGTGTGTGTGTGTGTGTGTGTGTGTGTGTGTGCGTGCGCATGCATGAGAGTCTGTGTGTGCATATGTGTTGATATATATACACTTGCATATGAATTGTGTGTGCATGTTGCACATATGCATGAACATCTGAAAGCCTGTGTTTGTACATGCGTGTATTTGTGTGCATGTGTGTGTGTGGGCACTATAGTTCTAAGTAGTGGTGTTCCAGGGAGAGGCTGCTCAACTTCAGCAGTAGACACTAGGTTCTAGGAGTTTCTTACAGGCTTTCCCCACATCAAGAACATAAATATCTGGTTTATATTAGGGATATCATGGGTGGCCAGCACTGCCTTCTGCCCTTCTATACGGCTTGCAAAATTTATAAGCTGTGTTGAAGCCAGGCATGCTAAGTTCTTTTCTCCAGCCACTGTTCATTGTTGTCCATCCTGCCCCTCCTACCCACTGCAGCACCAGAGTGGCTCCAGATGATTTGTGAATGATTCTGATAATCTTACTTTGGGCCATCAAAGTTAGCATTTCACACAGTCTTTACATGCCACCAAATATTGTCTTCATTTGATTTACTTAAATTATTTCAAGATAGAAAAATCATTCAGAATTGGAGACCTGTACAGATCCCGATGGCCAACCAGAACTGGCCTACAGGCCACAGTCTGTCAACCCCTCCCTCAAATATATGGTAGTTATCAACAGGAAGGATGAAATCTTGCTATTGAATGGCAGTGAGTTGTCAGCACTCTGCAGGAAGCAGATGGCATGCCCAAAGGGATGATGGGAAGAGCTGCTGGGAAAGAGGAGTGTTCGCTGTGCTGTGAGCAGGTTAAGGGCCAGCAATGGTCAGTGAAACACCCCGAGAGAGCAGACTGAAGGGAGAAAGGAGCTGTTGCCTTTCTTGGGACTGACGGTCCAAGGGCAGAAAGCTGTGCAAGTTAGAATCTGGTGGGCGCCTAGCTGTTGGCAGGCTAAACCTGCAGGAAGAAGCCTGGGAGAAACATTGCTCTACCGTCTCTCCTCTTGTTTTCTTTTCTTTTCTTTTCTTTTTTTTTTTTTTTTTTTTTTTTTGACTGATCACACACTGTGGTGCAGAGCATGGGGCAGAAGGAACTATCTCTAGATAGGGCGGGTGGGAAACACAGAGCATGTTTTAGAGGCATGGCTACTCCAGCAACAGTGTGCCACAGTTGAGGTTTCTCAGTTCTGTAGGCACGGGATTTGCTTTTGTTTTTAATCCTTTGTGTGTAAATTTAATGTGCTCGTGTTTATAAAACATAAACAGTCTAATAACCCTTCTCACAATAGGTGTTGGGTTGTGATTTAGAGATTTAGGTGGCCTCGCTTGGGACTGTAATGTGCTGTTGCTTTTTGGATGTCACATTATTAAATGGTTATCATAAAACAAGACCATAGCTCTGCTTCATGGAAATAGATTTTAGCCATCGACGTGCAATGGAGTCTATGGGAAATGTAGGTTAAATATGATACTTTCTCTTCAGACAATGCATTAATCTTCAGTAGGCATTTGTTGTAGGAGCTGATTTTGGGGGAAAGTGTCACTTAGTCTAGAATTATCAGCAACACAGGCCCAGGGTGGACAGTCGGCCATGGGTCTGAAGTCCTTTACTTTGAACAGTGTTCTAACCTACTTATGCAAATGCTTGTAATGAAAATATTTTACATTTTGATTGAGCTAGAGGTGCCTTTGATTTTTAGTAAAAGCTCTGAGAAATGAGATGACTAGAAATAAGACAATCTTGCTTACAGAAGGTTCTGGTAGAGATTATTTTTCAATGACTTTTCTTGCTTCCCTTACAGTGGAGCTAACCTACTCTTGGTCACATGCCCTTAAAGTTGAGTCTTGTCTCGGCCATTTTGGTGATTTATGCAGAGATGACCTATGAGTTTTGTGCCAGTTTTAGTGAGGGAGGAGTCAGTGCAGTCCATGATGTATTGATAGGTCCCTAGAAGTCATTCTCTGGCATAGGCCTGGTGGGAAAGCATCTTATGATGCTGGTATTGCTAGCTACCAACTGCAGATAACTTTTAAATATTCCAGGAGTGGAAATCGTCAGGATGTCTTGGACCTGATCTCAAGTATTAACTGTATTTCTAACATCTCTTTACTTTTAGACTCAAGAATCTTTAAACCCAAACAACTTAGAATACTGGATGGAAGATATTTATACTCCAGGCTATGATTCATTGCTAAAACGAAAAGAAGCTGAATTCCGACGAGCCAAGGTCTGCAAGATTGCTGCTCTCATCACTGCGGCTGCATGCACGGTCATTCTTGTCATTGTTGTGCCCATCTGCACGATGAAGTCCTGAACCTGTGGACCCAACATTACATGCAGCTCACAGCTTCCACTGTTTTCTTCTGAATTTCTAAAGCTCACCTCAGTGTGGATGTTTGTTGAAATAGAGAAAAAAAAAATCTCAGATGCTTTTCTACAGGGCTGAAGGTTTTCTTCAGAGAGTATATCCTCTAGAAAAAAGTCTACCTAGCTGTTAAGCTTAACTGTAGTTAGACTCTGATATATTTTCAAAAGTACAGTACCTTTTTCCACATAATGAAGGCCATGAATTATCCGTAAAAAAAATTGAATATTCCAAGCAAAGGAAAAAAAAGGAAGACTAATTAATTGTCTTCTTTCATTTTGATGATGATTCATAGTGGGCATTAAGTTATGCAGAACAGATCCAATATTTGCTCTTTGGAGGAACTGATGGTGTCACAAAGATGAAAAGGCAACAGGGGTGGGATCAGTTTCTTTAACAGTCTAAGACTGTTGCTGGTGAAATAACTGGATGTGTCCACCAAAAATGTGGCTTCTATTCAGTTATCAAGGGTTACTGACTTCCTCCTTGCCCTTCTGCCATTGCCAGTGTAGAACTTCTGAATTCCTGCACTTCTTCATAGTGATATTCTGAACCCTCTTCTTGGGCCCAGGTAGTAAGGAGCCGTACATCCACACCGAGCATGATATACAGTGTTCTTTTTTTTTTTGCAGAATGAGTAGGCCAATATCTATTGTCCCCATCATGATGGGAGGCTTTCCTGCTGGGGTATGTTCAACATCTGACGGTCACTGACAGCCCAAAGGATGTTCTGTTCTTGCTCTGGCATGTGGCTCTGTTCCTTGATTTTCAAACTCTTGGTGGTACCCGACACTCTACTTTGAAGAGTTTGGAACTTGTCCTTGTGCCTTGAAGAGCAGAGACAATGGTGACACTTTGACATTCTAACGTTAAACCATGGTTTCCGTCCATCACTGGTACCAACCATTTTCAATGACTTTTAAAAGAATGTTTATTTGATAATCTGATAAAGGCACTAAGGTCTCCTCAACTACAACATCTGCTCCAGAGTTTTGAATATTTGTCAGCAGCGCAAAAAATAGAATCTATTTAATCATCTATCTATCTATCTATCTATCTATCTATCTATCTATCATCTATCTACATGTCTAAGTATCTGATTTTTGTTTGTTGTCTTCTCTGCTAAGTAAATTGAGAGCAAGACTTTTCCAAGTGTACAAGAAGCTGTTGCAATTTTATTAGAATTTGATCTCTGTTTCCTCCTGATTGGTGCTTTGACAATAATTGGCAAAAAGACTCCTTATCAACATCTATGTCTAATGTCTTACAACAAACTAAAGAAAAATGATTGACAGAGTCTAGAAACCTTAAATTGATTTGATAACAAACTGGCATACACACATTGTGGTGGTAAGTATAATCACTTTGGAAAGTATGTACACTTTCTGCAAGGGGAATCTGAGACACCTTCTAATTTCTAAAGCAAGAGGAGTCCAGCATCCATTCTAAATAATTCCAAACAATGCTGAGCTTGCTGCACTGGATCCTGTTGTCACTAGTGAAGAGTAGACAATGCACTTTAGGATGCTAACAGATGACAACAGAGGTCTTCATGATATCTATTTCTATTGATATGTTATGTTTACTAGTGGATCTTCAATGAGGTGAATGAAACTTAAGCCTTAGAATGAAATAGGACTCGACAATGAAAATGAATACATACACACACATACATACATACATACATATATGCATGCATAAATACATGTCTGTTGTCAGAATTTTAGTCTTTTGGTGCTCTGTTTTGGATTGGGCACTTCAGATAAGATTGTCTCTTTCACTCCAAAGAGGATATACTAGATTACATCCTTTGGAGTCCCTTTTCCACCTCCTTATTGTGAACAATGACTCTGTACCACATTCTGATGTCACCATTCTGCCCCACAACACAAACTAAACTGTCAGAGAGTCAGTGATAGCAGCTTCAGCCTTCAACTTCTTGATCTGTGACTTTAGAACAGCAGAGATGTACTCTCCTAGATAATAAAAATTTTGTTGAACTTGGCATTAGCACACACCTTTATTCCCAACACTTGGGAGGCAAAGGCATGTGGGTCTCTGTGAGTTCAAGGCCAGCCTGGTCTACAGAGTGAGTTCCAGTATGACAGTCTCCAAAACTACACAGAGAAACCCTGCCTCAATTTTTTTTATGTTAAATCCCAACCCAACTCCTCCATTTGACAGGTGGGATTATGAAGGCCAGATATTACTCCCTCTATAAAACCACTGATATAATGAAGCCAGTCACACTTCATCCACTGACAGTGCACTAGGACAAATCTATTTCTAATGGGCCCTATGTGGATCATGTACCTAGCTACCTAGGGAGGGCATGACTATAAACATAATTCAAGCATAGAGGTGAAAGAACTCTATAGAATTTTCTAATACCTTTTTCATTTCTGGGGAGGTAACCAAAGAAATCCAATCTTGTTCTAAGTCCAGTATAAGTCCAACTCAATGTTGTCACATAATGAAAGCATCTAGACCTGATAATAAACCAGGAGTCAGATCATGAAGGGGAAAGTAAGGAAGGAGGTTTTCTCTGGAAAGTGGCCATTCTCAGGCAGATAGTACTGAGGCTGCTGTTGAAGGACCACACCTTTGCCATATCTATGAGTTCATGAATGCCTGGAGTCTTAGAATTCATAAAAGATTATGTTTATAGTTATATCTCTTTCTCTTTGACCCCAAATGTGCTTTTCTTAGATCCCAGACTCACCCTAGCTCCCCCAACCACTCAATTTTCATAATGAAGTAAGATAGATTACTTGACAGAAAAGTATGCATCCCCTTTGTATAATATATTCCCCTCCTCTCCTGTTGCAATGTCCCCTCCCAAAGTGAAGGTGACTGACTGACCTTCTGTACTGAGTGTCATAATTTCGCTCTATATTTTTTTATAGAAAGTACATATTTTGTACCCAAAGCTTAAGTCACTTCATGTTACAAATTCATTTCATTTTTGTTGTTTTTTTCTTTAGATTTTTTATTTATAACATTAATCACATAACTTTACCATTGAAGGGATTATTTTGCAATCAAATGTCTCTATACAGTGATGGAATTTAGAATAATTTCATCCTTTTTACTAGTCTGAATTTGTTTTGAACATAGCCTTGCAGAAAAGCAATCACTATCAAAAGAACTTTTCAACTCTCTGCTATCAGGCATTTTATTCTAGCATTTCCTTGTTTAAACTACTGATAAAATGAAGCCAATCACACATCATCTGCTGTCAGCTAATCATAAATTACATGTTACTTTAGGGCATGCAGCCATGTGAATAATACATTGCAAGGCTAGCTTAATAGATATGATAAAAACAATCAGTGTTCTGAATATCTGTACTATTGTTGCCATTGTCTTAATTCCTTGTGACACTTTATTTGTTTATATTATTGCACAAAACCCCTCTGCTAATGGTTTAATGGTATGAAAATTTATAAATGTTGGAATTCAACATGCTTCCTATTATTAATATAACCAACCTACAAGAATATTGTGATCAATTGTGTGAATACCAAACATTATATACTGTATATTGTACTACAGAAATTTGTATTTTAAGGTAAAGATTTGAGTAACTGTTGGTATAACTGAAGAGTATGAGATATTTATTAAGTAATAGTGAGAAATGCAACAACCTTCCTTATTTATGCCTTATGAACAACAGAGTGTGAAATGTAAGGCACAGTTTTATGTGAAGCCCCTAAAGAGATGGGTTTCCTTGAAGGCAGGGATGGTGTCTTTCTATGTTTGTTCTGTACAGCTCTCAGCACACTCTTGGTGCTTGATAAATGTTATATAATACCAATAACTAAGCACATTTTTAGATCTTTTTTCAAATGGCTCGTGTAAAATTTGGTTAATGTTGGTTTGAAGCTATCATGTAAAATCTGCCTCTCCAAATGTAATCCAAATAAATGGAAAATATGCAGTAACTTGTAATGAGATTTTATTTTATCCATAAAGTATAGGGCTCAGGTTTATGAACATGTTACAAACTGTCCATCTTAATTCTTTTTCCCAAATTGAATGATTCCAAAGTTGTTGAAAGGAGCGGCGGCGGGCTGCGTCCCACCACCCGGCTAGCTTTACACCAGAAATAATTACACGGAAACTGTATTCTTTTAATCACTGCCTGTCCCATTAGCTCTAGCCTCTTACTGGCTAGCTCTCATAGCTAGATTAACCCATTTCTAATAATCTGTGTACCACCACGAAGTGGTAGCTTACCAGGAAAGATCTTAACCTGCATCTGTGTCCAGTGGGAGAATCATGGCGACTTTCTCCCAGCATTCTGTTCTGTTTTCTCCACCTACCTAATTTTCTGTTCTATCAAAGGGCCAAGGTAGTTTCTTTATTTAACCAATGAAAGTAACACAAAACAGAAGACTCTCCCCCATCACAAAGTAAAAAATATGTGAGTAAACTAGTCCTCCTCCTGCTCCAAGTCCCACTAAAACCTTGTAGAAATATCATATCATCATTAATCACTCAATTATGTTATATGTTCAGAATATCTCCACTGTTTCATGCTGTTTCACAAACCTGCGAATACATCACAATTTATCTATTCTTTCTGCTAATGAATGGCTATTCAGGTCCAACCTACAAGGGTACTGTGGTCAATGAGACTACCAAGTCAGTCCATGCTGTCTGTTATACTGTAGAAACTTTTATTTCAAGGCAGAAAGATGCAGATTGGTGCTCCTGGAGGAAGGACTTGGGGTTATGAATATTCTTTATGCACCCTTTCTGTATCATGTATGACTGATGGGTCATGAGAGATGCTTAAAGGTTAGGACAGAGTGCTGAAGACTTTCTAGATACTGTTCTGCAGATACGTCCTGTTCCTTGGATTGTATGTGGAGACTCAATGTCCATATCTTCCTAATAAGGTCTAGAGTCTATTGCATTCCATTGAGTGGCAAATCACTGTTTTGAAAATATCATTTCCAGTCCGGAGAGATGATTCAGTGGGGAAAATACTTGCTGTGTCATTGTTTTTAATTTTTTTCTGGAAAATGTTTGGAACTGGAGATTACTGTGTTAATCGAATGAAACCAGACTCAGACAATTATCACATTTTCTCTCATATGTGGATTCTTGACTTAAAATTGTGTGTGTATGTGTATGTGTGGGGGGGGGGAAGGGAGGAAGAGAGAGAGAGAGAGAGAGGAAATTAAAAAGGTGATCAAGAGAGGAGGCAAACACATTATGGAAGGGGGAAGAGGAATTAATAGAATACTTGTGACATGGAAGTAGACACGGAAGCCTGAGGCCATGAACTCAGATTCCCAGAACTGATGGAAAACTGCACATGGTAGAAAACTTATGCAATCAGTCCCACTCCCCCTATAGTGAGATGGGAGATAGAGACAGGTGAATCTGAATCCCTGAACATTCACAAATGCCCTAGCCTGGTGTATACAGCACAGTGTAAACAAAGACCCATACCTCACACAAGGTAGATTACATATTCCTCTACCCTTTTCATGTAACCTGTCACATCCTATGTAGAATTCCAAAGATCTTCCTCTCTTTGCAGTAGAGTTTTTTTTTTTTTCTTTCTTAGTCTGATCCTTTCCTTCACTGGCTCACGTGAAGAGAGCTTCTGGTCTTCCATTTGCCCAGAAGTCTTTTTTTTTTTTTTTTTTTTGGTTTTTTCGAGACAGGGTTTCTCTGTGGTTTTGGAGCCTGTCCTGGAACTAGCTCTTGTAGACCAGGCTGGTCTCGAAATCATAGAGATGGTTTACTTACTCTTTCCCCATATAAACACAACTTCAACATAATTTTGTTATCCCAGAGGTTTGAAGGCATTCCTTAACTCTGAAGAAAGTGAGTGACCCCTGACTTGGTCAGAAGCCTCGGCACATATTTCCCTTGTCAAATTATGTCTTGGGAGATGCTGAGGAAATGTTACTGGCTTCCCTGCCTGAGTCTTTAAAAAAGAGTGATTACTTTAACTATGAGTCCAGCACACTTGAAGAAGTAATTAATACTTTGACATCTAAGCAGAAATCTCATAGACAAGCTTGGAAAAATGGTAGGGTAGATATACAATGGTGGGTAAAGAATACATTTTAGTTTTACAATAAATTATTAAATAAAATATTAAATCAAATGCATCAATCCAAAGTTCTCATTTAGTTGGACTGCATCTGGGTTGATATTCTTCCAAGTGCTCTGAAAAAGTGAATTAAATAATATGTATGGGATCTTGTAGGAAAATAAATGTCTGTCTTCTCTAAGAGATAAATCAATATGCAATATGCGCCTGGAAGGCATTTTAATCTATCATTAATTTAGCTTCCTTCATCCAAGTACAAGCAAAAGTCAATACTCGGTTAACTTACTTTACATTATTGAATGTGCTTTTTGGAAAAGCACATATCACTTCCTAGTTCTCTAGAATTCAGACTTTGTAATCTCCAACTATTTTTTTTCTAACATGAACGTGAATCATTGAGATCTTGCTGTACGTGACTTTATTTATATATTCGTTAGTCCTTGTGATGTCTAGGAAGGGAGCAAGGAACGTGTCGTATGACACAGTAGCACATGCATAAAACACAACCATTTAGAATGCTGAGCAGTATGACTTTCATGAGTCTGGGGGCACTGCCCTATATACTGAGTGCCAAGTCAGCCAAGATTGAGACCCTGTCTCAACCCCAAACCAAACCAAATCCCCAAACAAAATCACATTACAACATCACCAACCTCCCCACAAAAATGATAAGAAAGAAAGCAACATTATAGTGTTGAAAAATAAACTGAATCCAGAAAAGAGGAAGACTGTTAGTTTCTGGGAAGAACAGAGCCCTGCATTCAGCTTATGGAAGGATGTCCCTGATAAACAGCCTCTGAATCTCAACACGGACTCCAGTTCATTGTGGTTTAATTAAAATTCCTAAAAGATTCATCAACTCCTGCACATAAAATTATTGTTAGAAGCAGCAGTGCAAGTGTGGTTATTACAAATACAGTCTCCTTTCATTGATCATGGAAAGCACTTAATAAATTATGCCTATATGCCTGAGTGGTCACCATGCTAATAAAGAAGTAGATATGGCATTTTCATGCTGCCTACTCAGAGTCATGTTCTACATTTCAAAGATTCTTGTATAATTTCAAAAGTCTTAAGAGGGAGCTGTTCCTAACTCATTTTCTCTACCGTGTTTAATGTATGTGTCTCTATGAGTTTAATTAACATTTTGCTATTTTCTTATTACAGTTCAGTTTCATCATTAACAATGGACATTGGCCCTACATACTTCTTTCTGGTTCAACTCTTTCCTCTGCCATTTGACTTGTTCATTTGTGTACTTCGTCAGTTGCTTTTATTGAGCAATTAGCATATTCAAAACAATGGTTTGTTGATGAAATTCGGATCCATCAGCCTTGTGTATATGCCTTATACATGTTTACGAAGTATACAAGTGATGTAAGGGATGGATTCTTTCATCTCTCCTCTCATAACTTCAGTGTTCATGTGTATTCAGACAACAATCAATCAATGAATATAAATAATTCCAATCATCAATAGGTACAATGAAATGGAGGAAATGGAATGATAGGAAAGAAGTCAATTTGGAAAGGCCAGCGAAAGTCTCTGGGAGGCAAGATTGTGTCAACAATTAAAAAAGAACATTTTCAATGCAAATATCCTTCAATAAGAATGAAGACTGGGGTAGCTCAGGGTAGCTTGAATGTAGCAAATTAAACTAAGGAGTGTGGGGTTTATATTATGTAACAATCATATCAGGGTGATTAACATATCTACCCATTCTGATTTTGTATGGTGAATACATTCAAACCATCCTTTCGCTCTATTTTAGGATACACAGTACATTTACTGTCAACTCTATCCACCCCTTAAGACAGTGATTCTTTCCTGACAACCTCTTCCACACTCTCTATTTTGTGTTTTTGATGCACGGATCATACTATATACAGTCATGTGTATACCCAGTATTTACCATTGAGAATCTCCTTGGCATCAGCATCATTTCCCTTGAGAAGTCTTGGATGTCAAAGTCATTCCATCTTGCTCCCATCATAGTCACCAAATCCTAGTTGCTTATAACAACCAAGATCTATTTATGTCTTGCCTGGTATAGTTAGACTTTTCTTTGTGCTGCCAGTTCACAAATAAAGACACAGAGACTTATTATTAATTATGAAAGCTTGGCCTTAACTTAAAATGAACCCAGTTCTATTGATCTTTACTCTGTCACATACTGCCCATCCTGCTTCGTCTGTGTTCCTGGTGTTTCTTATGCATCAAGATTCATTTTTTTCTTCCATTCTTTCTCTGCCCAGAAGTCCTGCCTACACCTTCTACCACTAATGGATGTCTAGCTTTTTATTAAGCCAATCATAGTAATGCACCATCATACACTGTACAAATATCCCACAAATTTCTCCCTTTTTGTCCAGATAAAAAGGAAAAATTTTAACTCTAGCATAGTAAAACTATATACAATAAGAACAATTATCAAGTGAGAAATATGTCACAATGCCCAGTCCATTAATTCACTTGGCAATTCAGAGAAGATATTCTATTATCTATCACATCTTGGTGAGTCCAAAGTTTTGAACCTAATTTATTTGTATCCTAACTTGTATTAGCAATTCAAAACTATCTTTTTATACCTCAGAATATTTTCTTAGATAAACAACTTAAACTTTTATGCACCTATATATTTTATGCTTTTTTTGTGAGTTTTTTTTTAATTTGGTAACAAGGAAAACTGTAACTATCTAGCCTCCAATCCTCATCAGAGATCCAAGAAAAATATAGTATTTCCTAAGTAAGCAGGAAGTGCAGAGTAAGCAACTTTCAAAACTAAGAAATGACAAAGATATCTGGCTGCCTGGACAGTCACCTAAGGTT